AACAAGACAACAGTGCACGAGGAATAAAATAAAATATAATGCTATGGGTTAGTAGTATAATGCTATGCGTTAGTTTAAAATAAAGGAATATGTTAAAAATATTTAAAAAATGAAAAATAGAGTGCACCAGCGAACAGAAAGTGAGAGGTGAAAAGAGACGTGTGCAGAATGAAAGAATGAAAGTGACGGTGGAGTGTTATAGTCAGTCAGTGGGGGACCGGCTCTGTTGATGAGCCCGACTGCCGACGGGAAGAAACTGTTGGTGTGGCGGGAGGTCTTAGTCCTGATGGACCTCAGCCTCCTGCCAGATGGAAGGGGCACAAACAGGTTTTGTCCGGGGTGAGAGGGTCGGCCGCGATCTTTTTAGCTGCTTCAGAGACCTGGAAGCGAACAAGTCCTGCAGGGACGGCAGATTGCAGCCGATCAGCCTCTCTGCAGAGCGGATGACACACTGCAGCCTGCCCTTGTCCTTGGCTGTGGCTGCAGCGTACCAGACGGTGATGGAGGAGCAGAGGACGGACTCCATGATGGCCGTGTAGAAGTGGACCATCATCGTCTTTGGCAGGTTGAGTTTCTTCAGCTGCCTCAGGAAGAACAACCTCTGCTGAGCCTTCTTGGTGATGGAGCTGATGTTCAGCTCCCACTTGAGGTCCTGGGTGATGATGGAGCCCAGGAAACGGAAGGAATCCACAATAGTGACGGGGGAGTCACACAGGGTGATGGGGGAGGGTGGGGCTCTGTTCCTCCTGAAATCCACAACCATCTCCACTGTCTTTAGAGCGTTGAGCTCCAGGTTGTTCTGACTGCACCACGACACCAGATGGTCAGACTCCCACCTGTAGGCGGACTCGTCCCGACCAGAGATCAGTCCAATGAGGGTGGTGTCATCCGCAAACTTCAGGAGCTTGACGGACTGGTGGCTGGAGGTGCAGCTGTTGGTGTACAGGGAGAAGAGCAGAGGGGAGAGAACGCAGCCTTGGGGGGAACCGGTGCTGATGGTCCGAGAGGCTGAGACATGTTTCCCCAGCTTCACGTGCTGCTTCCTGTCAGACAGGAAGTCTGTGATCCACTTGCAGGTGGAGTCGGGCACGTGCAGCTGGGAGAGTTTGTCCTGCAGCAGAGACGGGATGATGGTGTTGAAGGCAGAGCTGAAGTCCACAAACAGGATCCTGGCGTAGGTTCCTGGGGAGTCCAGATGCTGGAGGATGTAGTGGAGGGCCATGTTGACAGCGTCGTCCACAGACCTGTTGGCTCTGTAGGCGAACTGCAGGGGGTCCAGGTGAAAGAATCCAGACGTTTCCACACCCACTCTGTCATTAAACCACCAGCACTAATTATCTCCTAGCCTCTCAAATGAGAAAAAAGGCAAGAGCAGATGACAATAACAGGACCATTAAAAATGGACTTAGCTGTTGGAAAAGCTGCCATGCAGAATTTGAACTTTTCTCACCCAATACTGCACTCTATTAAATCGAGGCACGGGGCCAAATGAGCAGGCTTGGTTAATGATAAAGATGGATCGGCCAAGATGAATGAAACGTGGCATAATTAATGGCGTAACATTGTCCCTCAATTTACTCCACCAGTACGGAGAGAAAATATTTTTCAAATGATATTCTGTTCCATCCAGAGGTGGGGGTGGCCCTCAGGAGAGCAGAGCCCGTCACGACAGAGTGCTGTAGGAATGAGTCCTAAAACCTGAGTCCGAGTCCGGGTCCCAGCTTCTCTCGTCTTGATCTGAAGGGGTTTTCAAACGTGTTCCTAGTTAGATGCCTGGAATAAGTTATTCAACTAAAAGTGATGACGTCATGTAATGTGACTGCAGCGTTGTTCCTTCATAACATTCGCTTTATACTACAGCTGATTGTCTTCCCGCTTCAAAACTTGTGTGGTGTGAATTGGTGTTTATTTGTGAACATGATCTTGATCAACAAAATGTCTTTGCCACAGACATCATTTTCTGCAATAATCCTGAATAGAATGGAAAATTCCCGTCAGCCTTTTTTTTTCAGAAGGAACCAGTGTGACGCTGCGGTCAGGTCAATTCACATAAAACAAACAGAGAAGCCAACCGGATTAATATGAGGCTGATATTTCAATCTGGACCAACGCGTTATATTACGCAGCCAACTAAAATCTTCTCGCCGTTCATTTTTAAATCAGATTGGTCATGGGGCTTTTATCGCTGGAGGTGTGATAGGTGTTTTGTGGTGTCTAACTGGAAGTGAGACATTAACAAATGAGCCTAAATCCATGACCAGCGCAGTACAGACTGTCTGGCAAAGGCAAGTGCCTGCTGAAATGTCCAAAGTTGGCATGACAGTTTATGCTAACTGGACAATGTTAGGACATCTTATTTCCTTTAACTTCTGATTTTTCTCACTACTTTCTCTCAGACTGTTTTAGAACTCGGTCCACAATGATCCACAAACGAGAAACAGGTATGTGGCTTTAGTTTGAAATGACTGAATATTGAACTGAGCTTGGATGCTTAAATGTTGATGTGTAAGCAGGTTGACCTCTGTCTCTTCTCCTTTCCTGTCCTCTCTTCCTCTCCATGTGTCCTCTAAATGACATGTATTTTGAAGCAAGCGGTGATGAGTAGGGTTTGTCAAACAAACCGTTAAATCTTATTCAGACTGTCAGGTCCTTGTTTCCCCAATAACAGTTTAAGGGACACAATATACAGTTTAATAAACTACCTATAAGTCCAATATGGTTCCAAATCTGAGGGTCGCGACCCACCCTGAGGCCGACAGGCGGATCGCGGTTTCATCACCAATCCTAAAAAAAAACGTTAAAGAAAACAAAAAAGTATAAATAAAAACTCATCTGTCAAACAATCAATAGAAATAGTCAGAGCTTGTGTGAAATTACAGCGCCACCTACGGATCACACAAGCTGCCTGAAGCTTTTCATTTCGGTCTGCATCCGGATCCAACAGAGGGATTTCCAAACTACAAACTCATGAGGAGCGAAAAAGGTGAGAGGGGGGAGGCCAAAGAAAGCCAATGGAGAATAATCTATCATTCAAATGGGGTTGGGTGCAGTTTGATTTCATTAAATTACATATCTTAAGAACAATCGATCCTTCACTCCGACCACAATAGAGCTTGGGCCCTAATGATAACAACAAACATACTTTTTCACGTATGCATTATGTACAAGATGCTCATGAACCAACTTTGTTTTTTGGCCTGAACGCGCTGCTCAGCCATGTGCCTCTCAGCTGTGCTCCACCAAAAATTGATTGCGAAATGTAACGCGCGTCTCGTACACCTGGATTCGCATGCAGAAATGCCAAAAACTGAAGAGACGTGTGCACAATCCAGACGCAACGCAGAAGCAACTTCAGACTGATTCAAATCATGTCAAAGGGAGAAGCGAACACCTGTCGAGTAAACTGAGACCTCACCTTGTGCAGCTACTGCTGCACAATGTTGCGATTGAGTTTATTCCTTATTTATTTATTCACTGCAGAGTTTGTGTAGTGCTTTTTTTTGTAGCCTTGTAGAATCATGGTATAATGGTGAAACGTAATTGTAAATGACACAAATATTCTTGAATTTATTATTATTGTAATTATTTGAATCTGAAGATGTCTGTAGATTTGACGTGAACTTAATCACAAACGTTTCAAACCCATTGCTGCCTATTGACACAGAGGAGGTTGCAGCCAAAGTCCAGAAAGCGTTTGCCTTGCCAGGTGGAGAGGACATGATGACGCAAAGTGAGAGCTGACAGCCGGGTTATGGGACAGGGACTTGTGGGGACTTGTCAGCAGAGACAAGTTTCCTCTCCTCAGCGCATGTGCCCTAAACGAGTGCCTGCTTTGGATCATTGTACCTCTGTGAAATGGCATTTTCACAGATGAAAATCACCAAATCAAAGTACAGGAGCCGCTCACGGACTTCCTCCGACTGGCTGTCTGTGCTTACGAGCCGGACTACAAGGCATCACACTGACTGTCACATGACTTTCACAGCTGAACCGCACTGACTTATGTCAGTGTTTTATTGTAACTTCAGCTGATGAATTATTTGGTATTGGAAGTTTATCCAACCTCCTCATTGCAAATGTGTTTTTTCTTTTTCATCTAAAAAGCATGAAGTTGTAAGTAGGTCTGGACGGTGTGTTTCTCTCAACACCTCAGGTCAGGGGTTGGTTAGTGAGCACTGCTCACCTTTCTGCTGTCATATTGTGAGCTCTGCTCTGGCTCTTTTATCTGGAGTTTCTCCAAAGAGATTATACAGAGTTACGGTTGGTTCTTGGAAGCGTAGGATTTGGTTTAACCAAACCAACAGTGTAACAATAGTGTGACCAGAGGTGATTTATTGGCCGTCTTATTGCAGTGGGAAGTGATGTTCTCTTGCATCTCTTGTCGTGTGGTCGTCGTGGCACAAGAGTAGAGAGGGTGCGCCGGGAACCGCAAGGTTGGAGGTTCGAGCCCTGCTGCCATGTCCCATGTCGAAGTGTCCCTGATACCTAACCCCTAATTGCTCCCTGGGCAAAAATGTAAAAAGTCATGTGTTAAAAATGTAAATTGCTTTGCATTAAAGCGTCAGCTAAATTACCTGTAATGTAATGTATCTTTCCTTGAGACCGCAGAGCTGGATGATTTTAGAAACGTAAGCTAAAACTGTCTAAAAAATAAATAGCCTATACACAACATAGAGTAAAGGGAAAAAAACAAATGTCACTTTTTATTCTTTATTTGTTTTCCCTGAAGCCATGAAAACGTACCATCTTTATTTAACGTAAGTATGTTTACTTTTCCCAATGCGGTTCAAACTGCCCGGGCTGTCAAGACCAGGGAGACAACTGATGCCACTTAGTTCATGAACACAGTTCAACAGGTGTTGATATTTAAATACCTAGAAAAGACGAAACGGATACATAAAACATGGGATCCAGCAGCGCTGCCATTTCAGTCCACCCTCCTTTTCAGAAGGGGCGGCAATGCGCGCCAGACAGTTGCTCGCCAACCACTAGAGGAAAAACCACAGAAGAAGAAGAACCACAACCACAACCAGGAAGTGACCGCAGCAGAAGACTCAGGCAAAACAGATACAACCGGGAACCCGTGTGTCAAGCGTCTACTCTGGACGAGCACACATTCTGTATTTATAGACGCAGTTGAGCGTCTCGTTTCTGTTTGGACGATGTCTCTCTCTAAAAAAGAGGGACACAACACATTGACCCGTTCAGTGGTCCTCGGTGCCTTCGTGCTGTTCGTTAGCTTCGTTAGCCGAGGGGAATGCCAAACAACTCCACCGCCAACGCGTAAGTTGAAGTATTGTGTGAAAAATAGCGTTTTTCAGTTAACAATAACGACGTTACGCCTTCTAAGTCCTTTTCGCGAAGGGTTTCCTCCAGTAAAACTAGAGGAATAGTGTTAGTTTGTTGATACGTCACTGCTAGCATTGTTGCCATGGCGTTTGTAGATTTACCATCACTTCCGGTTAAGCTAAGCTAACCATACTTTTCTGTTTCTCTCCCTTTCAGCCTGCTCTTCCTACAAGAGTTGTGACCAGTGTGCTCCAAATACAAAGGTGAGGTTGCCCAAAGTAGTTTATAGCAGCAGCTGAAAGACTTTGCCCGAGCTTATCAAACGTCTGTGATAAAGGAAACATTCACGCCCATTGTTTGCACATGAGATGCCGACCCAGCCGCTGTAATCAATCATGCTTCAGTAGAGCAGCGAGGACACCCGGGGACATAACAGTGTCCTTGTTGCTATCACAAAAAGCTTGTTTTATTTGACCAATTGTCCAAAGTATAAACTTTATTATCCCGTTAAACAAGCACCATCCAGCATAAATGAGTGTGTTTGAATTCAAATACTGGACCAATCGTTGCAGGTTTAGATTTGCACTTTTGAGATATGAAGGGTTCATCTGTGTGTTTTGTCCTCAGTGTTTGTGGTGCTTTACCACCAACAACTGCACAGACTACCCAGTGAGCTGGCTGCTGCCGCCGCCCTCACTGTGCCAGCTGTCCCAGGCCCGTTGGGGAGTGTGTTGGTGTAAGTAGTCCAGTCTTATTTAAATGGGGACAACATCTGCTCTTGTCTTTTATTTGTCCAAGTTAGATGAGTGCAATCGATTATCCCACTGGTGCCGCAGGGGAGCGTTTCCCTCTGTGATGTAAACATGTCAAAGGGACTCAGTCATAACTTGTTTCAGTTTCATGGCTGTGACTTTCAGGGAAATACAGATGGACATATGCACTTTATGTTCTCTATAATATTATCACATTTGAATAATATTCCACTAGAATATTATTTCTTTGTTATGTTTGTTTATTATTTAATTGTGCGAATAACGTCACTCTAAACATCTTTCTGTATCAAAACTGTTGGGAATATATGAAGCAATCAGAAATAAAAACAATAAAACTGAAAGGAAAGTAATTATTAGTGCAGGAGATTACCTAAAATGATCTCGCTCTGTGAACCACTGGAAACATGGCTGCAGGATTGTTGTCCTAGAAAAACACTGGGGTGTTTCTAGCCGGGGGAATAACGTACAAGGATGTACCTGTTTGTTTTGGCTGAGTAAGCCCATCTGTGTTCGTCTCGCTTCATGTGGCTCAGCTCATCGCTGCACGTCTCTTTCCTCATAGCCTCGCTGGGTACACGTAACATGCTCATGAGCCACAGCAATAGAGCCTAAAACAGAATGCAGCGATGGGCCAGGTGTTCCTCTGACGCCAGATGAGGAAACACTCCAACTAAGGGATTTTTTGTGCAGTTGAAGTCATTTGTATTGAGATCAATGAACAAAGGTCAAACGGATGTCAGACTTTTTTTTAATCAGTTTAAAGCTTCATTAAGTCACATAGATCACTAGAGTGCAAGTGCAGAGAAGCCGGACCAAACCAGTCAAAATGGAATGTAGAGAATGTAAGTCAGTCAGTCACTCGCAGGAGAACGAGCCTCCAGTATCGACTAGATAAGCTATATGACAAGTGTAGGACTGTGAAGACATGACATACTAGTCTGGGTGGGTTTTTAAACTTTAGTGGGCTGAAGAGGTCAGTTCAAAGGAGTAATAATAATTACTGATTATTATTAACGCCCTGCGGCCAGATGCAGCTTTTCTTTGCTCCCCCAAAATAGATTCCTAAATATAACCTGCGTCTCGTACAGCTTGTTTGCTACACTGGATTCTGAAATGGGCTCAGAATTCTTCCTGTTGTAGTTGTTCAGCACAACAAATAAGGTGCTGCATTCATGATGTCATCGGTCCACAGCTGATGACTGATAAACCATGGATGTGCTGCTGCTGTAGAGTTCCTGGCCCGGACCCCAAACCTCATTTCTAATGTGTCTTATGTTTCCACTGGAGACGCAAGTGGAGCGCTTAGTTTCACCACCTGGGGACGGCTGCAGTGTTGCCTTCAAGTCAGCAGGGGGCAGCACAGCCAAACAAGTGGCGTTTATTCTGCCACCCAAACGTCCAGGTTGAGTATCTGGGTATTAATGGTGTGTCTCCTTGTGTGACCCAGTGAACTTTGAAGGCCTGATCATCGCTCTGGCGGTCGTGGGGGGAGCCGTCCTCGTCAGCATCGTCGTCTGCTGCTGCTGCTGCTGCTGCTGCAAGAAGCGGCGCCTGAGGTAACGTTCAATCACAAGCCCGTTGCAGCTGTAGCAATCAGATATCTTCCAGCATCCTCTGCAAAGTGTGTGTGTGTGTGTGTGTGTGTGTGTGTGTGTGTGTGTTTTACAAAGATGCATGAGTTAAGTATATTAATAGTAATTTAGTAGATTATATCTATGCATTTATTTGTTAATAAAGGAAAGCATTGTTAATGTCAAGCCGGATGTTACTTCCACCCCCCCAAAAGCTGGACACTGGACTGGTACTTGCATTAAATAATGCAAAGCTGTCAAGACAAACTTTTGCATGTCGAAGTCTTAATGGTTGCATGCTTTCATACAAAAGGAACTTTCTACACACAACCATAATCAAAGCCTGCAGGAACACGTGTAGGAGTCCAAACTTTGCCATCATCTTAAATGATATAAACCCATATTCAGCAGTGCAGGTCGGCTGGATGTCCGCCGTGCTTACAAGTGATCACGTATCCACAGGCATTACAGGGAATGTGTGGTCACGAAAATGATCCTCAAGGTCATGCAAAGGTCACGGAGAAGTGAATGCAAAACATTCCCAGAGTCAGCAGCTGTTTGAGCACAAAGATCAGGCGTATTAGTGCTCCTAAAGCGGATTCCAGTGATACGCATTGAGTGTGTAACCTGGTGTGACGCGGTGGATTAAAATGCTTTGAAGGCGCTCTGTCCCGCTGAGTGCACGTCCAGCTGCTCTGTGGCCACGACGCAGTCAGTGCGCCTCCATCAATGTGGACCGCATTCACGCTCCACTGTTGCTTTGTTTGGCTTCCTCAACAAGACAGCTGTGCGTGCGTGTTTGCGTGTGTGCACAGTGAATGAAACTCGCGTGAGGCAAGCGGCTGCAGGTTGTGGGTGTAAGAGTCTTGTTCACGTCTATCATCTGATAGAGGAAAAGCCCCTGAACACACACATGCAGGCGTGTGGGGGTCCCTGTGTGGGCTTAATTGACCCTCTAGTTACATACAGTTCAAACCAGACGTTTACATACACTATGCAAAAAGACACATAACACTTTTTTTGTAGCTAAAGCTTCGCTATTTACTTAAGAACATTCATTTCCTCTTTGCTTCTCGAGCTGCAGACAAATGTGTGAAATAAATACAAACCACGCCTTTATGTTGTTGAGCTTTGTGCAAAGAACCTCCCTCAAGCTTCAGCAGACGTGTGTAACTGGTGTCTTTGTTCTGTGGTTGTGTGATGCTGAAACTCTGCTGGTGTGTCTTTATGTCTCAAGGCCTGACAGAGATGAGGAGCGATTAGTTCAGAGGAGGGAGGAGATCAACAGCGGGCTGAGGAACGGTAAGACTCTCCCCCCCCCCCCACAGGCTCAAGCAGAAAGCGGTTGAAGCAGTCGGGGACCAACTCTCGCCGCGTTGATTCAAATAACAACTGCACCTCACATGACACTTTGGTCCCCCTTCTTCTCAGGGAACCCATGTCAGGGCTCTGTATTGTCACCAGTGATGCTCGGTTGCTCCGGTTCAAGTGAAAACTACATGTAGGACACGTTTGTTGCACTGTGTTGCCTGATATTTGTTCCAGGAACAACAACAGCAGTTGTTTTTATTCATAACTGTGCTTTTTATAAAAATAATGCTAAACTTTCATTTTCCTGGAGGGAAACATTCTACTGACCTGAAACACCAACTTAACATATTTAGTTCTTTTTACACTAAAAACAAATCCTTATCAATTAGAGATTTGGATCAAATTCATCACGTTATAATATCAATAGCATCATTCATAATAAACATATATATATTTGTGTGGATCTGTGCCAATGAAAGACGGCTCCTAAGCGTTGCAGAATTGGATGTGTAAGACATCTCAGCAGAACCACTGGGTTACACGATAAAACCTACTGGTTATTCCACTGCACTGGGAGGCCTTTGTTTCATTTCATTTCCTGTTCACAGCAAGTACACAACACACATTCATTCATACAAGTGGAATCAAACAGCTACGTCAGCATATTCCAGCTGCTTTAACACATTGTGGGGGGGTTTCCGCCTCCCCAACAGAAGATACAAGCAACAGGTGCACCTGAGGAGCGCCGCCTTCCTCCACCCTCGTGTGTGTGTGTGACAGACAGAGTCTCTCTCTCTCTGCTGGGTTTCCTGCAGCGAGCTCGACCCACCCTCTAAGGCGTGAGTTAGTGCAGTGACCTACATAGACGCAGTGACCAGGACTGAACATGGGAATGCCGAGTGTCTCTGGACGCTGCTGCCTGCTCTTTAAGTTGAGCTGCCGTCGAATGGCCACTTCTGTCGAGGTGTCGAAGCCTTTAGAAATGTCTGTTGGCACCAATAAAACCCCCAAATAGTAGCATGTTTTCTGGAGTGGCTCCTTGACTTTCATCCATTCGTGTGTCGACCTGTAGAATTGCATTTCGGGGACATGAGCGTAGCATAGCGACGGGTCCCCCTCTCCCCAAGAATAGGCAGCGCTGCAGCCGTACAGTCCATAAACCGCATCGGCACTGACGATATCCCTAGAAATGTGCTTTAAACCGAGGATAAGCCAACCCATCTGAGTAAACACTAACGTAGCTAACAAACATACTGAAAGAACAGGGCGAGGCCAATACGATCAGTAGGATCAACGGAGTTCAAAATGAGCGTTGTTGCTGAGCCAATCAGATGCAGTGTTGCACATTGACGTTGGTGGTGTGTGTGATCGCTGGAAGAGAAGTGCTTCGCATGAAGCCATCACCAAACTCCCATTGCTCAAATAATATTATCCGACCCACAAATAGAGGTTTGTTGGAGCTACTCTGGTGACGCCGTGACCCCCATCTAATTCATGTGTGAGAGGAGAGGGCCGTGCTGTACTTCTTCATCACGCAACGCATACAGGCACGCATGAACAGTTGATCAGTCATGTGAGTTAACGCCTGCTCCGGCACCACCCAATCGGCAGCGGCCTTCACCCGTGCGCCGCTTTGAGCATCAACTGTTTTGTCATGAAACCGCGGCAACATTGTCGGTCAGCTCTGTAAGCTAGCTGGCAGTAAAGAGGTGTTGGTGCAGAGAGGAGGCGACGGTCCGGAGTCCGAGTCCGCAAAGAAAGGCCGCAGGGTCTAAATATCACCCTGCGTAACGATGTTGTTCAGCCGTGCCCCATAGTGACGTGTAGAGACCATATATCCCGTATTAAATGTTGGAAAAACTGTCCCATGGCTCTTGCTCAGTGAAACAAACAATATGTTTCATCATCATGTCAACACTTGTGTCCTAAATACAATCACTTCACCCGATGGGCCTGAAGCACACAAGCTACTTACTGCAGCCAGCAGTGTGTGTGTCCTCCTGCTCGCCTGCTGTCTCACTAAAGTGTGATGGGAAGGTGTGTGTGGACTGAGGTGTGAACGGAGAGCAGACGGGCCACACAACGTGTGTGCGGGTCGGCCTCCGTACCCGGTGGTGCCTCCGTACTCGTTGCTCCTCCCAGCCGGAGGCCTCAAGGTTTCCTGCTTCTCCGTCCACTCGTTCTTCTCAACGGGAGAACTCAAATCTGGACCGAAAGATTGAACTCATAAACAATTTGTTGATCGAATGTCAAGGTCACTGTGACCTCAAGCCTGTCCTACTGTGAATTAGTGAGATCACCTTCTGGATTTCTTTGTTTGGCACAAACTGGAGGAGCAACTCATTTAGATTTCGATTGTTAAAGGTCAAGCCGATCCCATTCTAAAGGATACGTTTCTTATGAGGCACAAACATCGACCTGGACTACAGGAAGACACCGACAAGTCAACACAAAGCCGATAGCATCCAAGCATTAACTACGTATTCCTTTAAACTACGGGTGTTAAAGTCTGTTTCTCCCCATCTTTTGTTTCTTTACAGGAACGTGGAGAGAAAGGCGCGGCACGATCAGATCCGCAAGAAGTATGGTACGTATGGGCCTCCGGTCCCCTCGTATCCCCTTTAAGGATACAGGGCATGTCGGATGCTTCCATGGACCTTCTTTGCTTCCTCTGTGCCAGAGAAGCATTTTCCTCATGTGAAGTGAGTCCATAGGGTGGTAACTCCTGTCTGAACCACTCCTCCAGCAGGGCCAGTGTCAGAGCATCATGTTACAGGTCAAAACCACTTTGTTCTATTTCAAATCTCCATCTGAGATGAGCCACTCCCCCTTCGGACAAGGTGAGAATAGAAACGACGCCCTCGACCCTCGTGTGGTTCTCCAGTCCTCTGATCATCCAGAAACCACCCCTCCCCTATTCATAGGGTCCCATGGGCAGGTAGTCACCACTGACCTGTCCCGCATGTCCTTGGAGTGTGGGAGGAAGCCGGAGTACCTGGACACAGATACTGGGGGGACATACAGAAAGGTGCTGGGTGGGTTTTGAACCCATGACCTTCTTGCTGTGTCTCCCACACACAGTAGACTTCTCATGGTCTACTTTCTTCTTGCCACTCTTCCATAAAGGCCAGATTTGTTTCCCCCCTCAGCTTGGGCCTCTGGGTTGATTCTCTGATTAATTCCTCCATTTGTACCTTTGCAAAACTGAAGTACGCCATGAAGGAGAGTTCAGTGCTGTGAAGAATAATTGTGGAATTCATGAATAATTGTGACATATGACACTTTGTACCACGGCAACGTCTCAAGCAGCCCACTAGAGGGCGCCCACCCGCAAGCGGAATCATCAATCCCAGACTTTCTCGGGGAGCAGGGGTGGCGCTTGGGGGGGGCGGGGCGCCCCCTTTGTTCTATTGTAGGGGGAAATCTGGATTGAGTGTTCATCAAACCTCAGGTTGTTGTTTTTGTTGTTCTAAACATGCTTAGTGTGTGTGTGATGTGCAACAGTTGATGTGGAACTCTGATGGTGTTTCCATCCCTGGGGGCTGTTAGAAGTAGAGTACAGAGTCGATGGGACGGATTGACTGTATTCAGCCATTCACTCAGCATGGCATTCTGACTCTTGGATTTGTACCCCCCCCCCCCCCCCTCTGTGCAGGTCTGATGAGTGACTCGGACCACCCCTACAGCAAGTTTGAGAACGAGTAGATCAGCTGTCCAGCAGCACTCCCAGAGGCCTTTGCTTGCAGCTTGTGTCCCGGTTCACAGTGACACAACTCGCCAGAGCACCAAATCATAAATAATCTGCATTCTGGTTGAGGATGCGATGACTTTTTATTCCTGTTCTTCTGTCTGCTGAAATTTCCTCATGAGTTTGCTCTTTTAAATATTGTAGTTTCATATCAGTCTTTTCGCATTGTATATAAAGAATTGGAATAGGAAATAGTGATTGTACTGTAGAAAAGATATGACTCAATAAATTCCTTCTTTTAATCATGTGGTCTGTTCTTTGTATTTTTGGAGATAAAATGTCTTGTTTTCTGGGTGAACTCTGTTACTGATCGCAGTTAGTATGTTTTACTGCAGCTTATTATTCCATCTGACATCCAATATAATATATCGGTACATCCAGAGACGGCATATCACCAGAGATCTGTGACAATTTGGATGTATTTACATCGCCCCTGTATTTTAATGACGATTGGGTCTTTTTTATTGTTAATACCCTGAAGAAGAGCGAAAGGCAAATATATATTTTTTCTTTCTCTTAGGACATTAAAGGGTTAGTAATGGCGTTCCATGCTAATATCTATTAGTTATTTGTCTTTAAAGGCTGTTTTCTCTAAATCCACCTTCCTGTCCAGTCATTCGTCCCATAATCTCAGGCTTTCTAAGCAGCCGTCTGTTTATTCAACATTTTAATATTACTCGGAAGGATTTTCATTGATATTCATGGTCTGTGATTAATAGTTACGTTTTAGAAAAAGGAGTAAGCAGAAATAGTAACTATTCCAAAGTAACGTGAATTATTCTACTTGTGCTTCAGAAATCAGGACGGTGAATGTAATCTTCCGTTAACGTAAGTACCATTCATGCGGTTGCTTATTTCCTGTCCTGTGGATGGAGATGGTTTCCTCGCTCGTTACCTGAGATCATTGGGATGGTCCAGATTCCCAGATGGAGCAGCGGTCTGCTCACAGCTGGTGTCCACATGCTGTTCTGGGCTTTGGACCTCGTCCTTCCAAAGGAACCAATGGGTGTGAAAGTGCATTTCATTGGAAAGAAATGAAACCTTTTATTCCCGCTGCGTTGCATATGAATTTACATCTGCAGATGCTTCCACCTCATCTCACTACACCTTTCTGAGCTTCCCCCAGATATGAAGTCCTCAATTACAACTTCTCTATTGTGTCATGTTCAAAATAGCCAATGATGTATTTTACGATGGTAACTTTTGGTGAATTTAGGATTTCAAAAATAGCAAATGTTCTAGTAATTGTTCCCGCGGTCCCTGCATTAGTGCGCTGTAAGCCGCGCGGAAAGACACGTGATGCACGAACACGCTTCTCTAATGCATGAATGCAGATGTTGAGAAGATAACTCCTCAGAGATGTTTGTGCCTTTAGTCATTTAAAGTCAGAGTTCTGGTCCACATTCATTGTGGCTAACAGATTAAAGAATACCGCCGGTGTGTGCGTGTGCGTGTGTGTGGGATGGGGATCGTTTCGCTTGCCCGTGGAAATATTCCTCCTCCTGCACACATTACAGGGCGGCGCTCGCGCTGTGACGGCCGGTCCGCGGGGCGAATGGAAACGCGCCGCTCCGCCGGACTGCGCCAATCCCCGCGCACTGGGGCGGGATCTAGGGGTCGAAGCGAGAGAGAGAGAGAGAATCCCCAAAATGACATCTAGATTGCGGCGGAGCGGAGAGCGACTGGCACAGAAACGACACCGTGCGAGCGGCAGCCAGCGTGCTGGATTCACCCGAGCAGAAAAGACGCACCGGGCACGCGCGGCGCGTTACGCACGGCAGCAGCTCGGACGCCGCCGCTTCTGACTTTCATGCCTCTTCTGGAGATGTAGTTGCCTTCTTGAGAAAATCCCAAGAAGACATTTGGTGTTCCTAGTTGGTGAGAGAGAGAAGCAGCAGTGAGAGGCTCCGCTTCCTGTTTGCTCTCCGCCAGCAGCGCTGCAGCTGGGCTGAGGGAGCCCCGCAGAGCTCCCCATCAACCGGTCCTCCAACCCGCTCCAACCCGCTCCAGCCCGCTCCAACCCGCTCCGGCCCGCTCCAGCCCGCTCCAATCCTGTCCAACCCGCTCCAACCCGGTCCAACCCGCTCCAGCCCGCTCTAACCCGCTCCGGCCCGCTCCAATCCGGTCCAACCCGCTCCAGCCCGCTCCAGCCCGGTCCAGCCGCGCACACAGAGAGATGTGCGACCTGATGCCCTCCTCCCAACCCCCTCAGAAAATCGGAAAAATGAAAAAGTTGAGGAGAACTTTGTCGGAGAGTTTCAGGAGTATTGGTGAGTGTTTTCTTCTTTTCCTTGGAGAAATGTCCATCGTCTAGTCATAGTCCACTAGTCCCACGTAGAGGACACTTGCCCTCAGCACGAGTTCAAACTCATTTGTGGCAAAAAGCAGCTGTGGTGCACACTGGGATGCTGATAACATGATGTTACACGTCTGTGTTTGACCACCGACAACTGGACGCTGCTCATCATCCTCATGAATGAATCTTACCGTACATTCATCATCGGTTCACTTCATACGCCAATAGCTGCTTCTGATTGTGGTGATGCACGTGAGACACGTCCATCTCATTTCTTCTGTTGTCCAACAGAAAACACTCTGCTGCTAAAATAACCACGTGTGTGAGCAGGAATCATCACGCACACGCCGTCGCGTCACTGGTTGTCACTGATGGTGCAGCCATCGCATCCCCGTGCATCTCTCAATCGCACACATACACATGCACACAGGCGCGCACACACACGCACACACGCGCACGCCTTGGCAGAAACCTTCACGTCATTGGCCTTTGCAGCAGCGTGTGCAGAGGAGGAATCTCTGGATGCAGCATGTATGAGGGATGAACAGTCGTGAGGGTCGATGATGCCGGAGAGGAGAGATTGCCATTGACTTTCCTGCTGACGCTCATCTCCCGTTGGCCGTCGTTCCTCTCGTCCGAACCAACATCAAGCTCTCGCCCTGCGCCTCTTAACGCAGCACATCCAAGAGCCGGCGTATGTTCACGTCCTCGCAAGCGTTGATCCAGCTGATCCCCGTCCTCATCAACGCAGGAGCCCATGCGCCCATTTGATTGGATGAGCGTTGAAGCAGGAGACCGTTGTCCAACCCTTTTCTGACCCGTGAGCTCAGGTGTGATGATCATGAGCCAGGTCCTCGGGGAGCAGTCGGTTTGTCATGTGAACTTGGGGGTGGGGACTGTGTTTTAGGAATCATGAAGAAAGCCCCCGACGAAACGCTGCTTCCTCCTGAAGTATTCACGGGCTGTCTTTAAACGAGCTGTGATGACTGAAACTTTACAACATAAACATCGCATTAAAGTTTTAAATATTCCAAATGTCGTGTTGTCGGTTGCAGGATGTGTGAATTACATCAGCTGACAGAAAGTAAACCCAAAATGACCAACAGAGGAGGGGCTACCCCGCCCCCGTGTTCCCCAATACATGTGTGCCCGGGTGCATGGAGCCATAGTGTCCGTGGTCCCCCCACCAGCCTCACAAAACCCCCAAACCCCAAGAGAGAATTCATTACATGTAAGGATGTCTAAATGCCACGAAAAGAGAGATGAATGTTCAATCATACGCGAGGCAGTGGATGAGTAATGTTAGATCACAACACTGACCACAGTAACTGTGGATAAAACCATTTATAATCATCTGATGATGGACAGCTTCTAATGCAGGTGGTTAATATCAAACCAACATCCGCTTATTCAGAGAGAAAGCTTCACAAAAACCACCTGAATTCCACCTATTCTTTGTAGTGACACCTAAAAACGTAGCTTGGTTTCATCAAAAATGACGATGCTTTGAATTTGTAATTGAAAACGTAATATTTGTGATAAAAATCACAACCCTGCGGTGTGTCCGTAAAGAGTTGATACGTCAAAGTACAGCAGGTGACAGAATTTCAGCTACAACATCGGGAATAATGTTTGTTATAAATATTTGAAAACGTTTCCTGCAAAGTGAGCATGAAATCTAACGCGTGAGCCGCCGCGGCGTCTTTGCTGTACCTGCAGACGGATCCGTGCAGCGAGTGAGTCTCGGTCTGCAGTGTGTGGGGAGTCTTTGGGGAGCGTGTGCATGTGCGATGGACGGTGCTTCTAAACACAAGAAAGAGAAGAGTCATTGTAGTGCCCGAGCAGCCCCCAGAGCCCCCAGAGCCCCCAGAACCCCCAGAGTGCCAAGAACCCCCAGAGCCCCCAGAACCCCCAGAACCCCGAGAACCCCAAGAGCCCCCAGAACCCCCAGAAGCCCCAAGAGCCCCCAGAAGCCCCAAGAGCCCCCAGAGCCCCCTGTCCTTTGGCCACGCTTCTTCCTCGTTAGACAACGTACACCGTGAGGTGTTAATAACTTCAAAATCATAATCTGCTTTTTAGTATTGCTACCTCGACGCTTCTTGGGCTCTGAAAGGGATTTGGAAATCAAAGTTAAGCAGGTTGGACGCCTCCACCTGTGAAGGATATTGATTATCCACTGCAGCCAATGGAGGAGATCAGTGACCATTGTGGATGTAACAAATATATATTCACATATATATACATATATATACATATATACACATATATATATATTTGTTTACATGGCGCATTTTATATTTCCCCGACTATCTCAGGAATAACAACCTGCAAAGTCCTGAGGGGAACTACATTGGCGCTTCATTAACTAGTGTAGCATATGCTACGCTAACTACATGCTGCTTTAGCTTTTCAATGTTTGTACCAGGCCATGAAGAGATACCAGACTTTACATTGTTATTCAGTCACATTGTCCTCTGTGTTGATCTCCGGGTGATCACTTTTACGCTGTGACCTGTAGCTAATAGCTAATAGCTACAGCTAATAGCTGCAGCTATTAGAGTTATGATACTATTATATCTTTTTAAGATTCTGTATCAGTTGAACATCCCGGCTGAACCCGTAGGACGGATATTGTAGACCTGTCTGTCCCCAGCTGCTGGGGTCGGGGGTCGGCTAACAGGGACGCGTCGCTATGATAATGGACGGAATCACATCAGAACATCATGAAGAAAACAAAGAGCACGGTTCTGAAATGGCTGCAATGAGCACTGCGGTATTTTTCTTAATGGAAAATCCTGAGTCGTTCCCATTGCTTCGGTTAGGTGTGTGTGTGTGTGTGTGTGTTTAGTACAGCGCGAGGGTTCACACACCGTCATAGTTTTCTCTGCTGATGAACAGAGTGGGAAAACAGACTAGTGTTCACACAGTCGGAGACGGACCTGGATGTTG